AAAAAAAAATGGAATTGCTTTTTTTTTACTTTTTTTTTATTTTATTTTTTATTTTTTTTCTTTATTTTTTTTTTTATACTTTTTTTTTATTTTTTTTCGCCAGAATTAAATAGCTCGAAGATCTAAATTAATACTAATAAAATAAAATTAAATAGTAAATATTGTATCCTAAACCCAAATAGCCTATTATAAATACTAAATTAATAAAAGTCTTTATACTCACGTTAAATTAATACAGATAAATTAAATCATGATATCATGCGTCTGAACAACCTATTTTAAATACTTACATTAATAAATAAAATTAATAAATAAAATCTTCAATAAAAAAAACATTAAAACTTAATTTTTTTTTCTTGTATTATTTAAATTGCTATATAATAAAATTTATTTCTAATGTATTGATTATTTGAAAAATCATGTGAAGTTGAAGTACATGTAGAATGATAATGGTGTACAAAATGAACCTTCAATAAATTGTCTATAAGACTTATTGGGTAAATTCGGTGCCACTGTGTGTTTTCAGCTATTTGTTTTTCATAAACTGGGCATTAAAGAATTGGATCAAGTATTGAAATTCCCATAACCAGTCAACCCAAATAAATGAAAATACTAAACCATCATTATATTTATATGTAAATATCCCCTTTAGTATAGTATAAGAAAGACCAGTTTCTTCCTAAATTTGCACAATATCACCAGTATACAAATTTATATATGTATTGAATGTGCCATCATCATTTAATAAAGTGTAACTAATCTGCTTGTAAAACTCAATGTGTCTATTTATTAAAGCTGATCTTTTTTCTATATAAATATCATATGCGCTTATGATATCATAAGTAAACTGAAGATTGTTATTGAATTTTACGAGTAGCAAAAGTTTTTGAATTTTGCTTTTTGATAGATGTTTTCTTGTTTTAATATTTCTTATTTTATCATCGTGTGATGTAATATTTGTACCTATTTGTGATAAAAAATTACAATTATTATATTAATAATATTACTATGTAAAATTTTTGGTTACTGAAATTCCAAGGTTGTAGGTTAAAATTCGAAAAACCATATCAAGAGCATAAAAAGTTAATCTTTTATAAATATATGAAGGTTAGATATTTAAGTGTTATTAAAATTAGAGATACATAAAGAAATGTTACCTATCGTATGTAAAACATTAATGCATATATGTACGTATAATACCATTCTTTGCTAAATTATTTTCTTTTTAAGAAATCATCTATTGCTATATGTACATACATACGTACTGTACATAGCGTTAGCGTTAGATAATTTTTAAATTGATTATTACTAATTATATATATTAATAAAATATAAATATTATTTTAGAGTTTATATATATTCGATTTTTTTCATTTTGGAGCTCCAGTAATCGAAAATTAATATATTTACTTATCTTAGCCGTATCTTCTTGAATATTCTGTGTCATATACCAATCTGATAATATGGGTTGAAAAAATAGGTCACTTGTAAAGTTTTGAAAGCCCTGTTTAATATGTTGAAAGCAGCTATCTTTGCTTCTGTCAATCAGATAACAAATCGTTTGGAGTGTATTATGCCATCGAATGAGATCAAATTCTATATTTTTGCAGTTCATTTTCGAAACAGAAGTTTTGAATATTTTATATACTGCTTCCTTTACTCCTACAGAAATATTTACAAGCATTCCAAAGTTGCGAGCATTCTGGACATGATGTCGGTTTATATGTAAATTTGGCAAATTATTGAAATTGTCTAGAAAAGCTAAAGTACAATAATATAAATAATACATAAATAATATTAATTATGTTTCATATTGCATATATTGCACCAATAGAACTAGATTGAATTATCAGAATCGTCATCTTAAAATAAACACATTTCTCATCATTGTTAAAAATCCATTGAATTTTTAAGGATTTAAAGAACAATTGTCGTTTTGTTACATCCTCAAGTAAAGTTCTAATTTAGAATAGCAAAATATCATCGATAGTCTCATACA